AGGAGAGCGGGTCGATTCGATAAAGAAATCGCATTAGGAATTCCGGATAAGCGTGCTCGACTAAAGATCCTAGAAATTGTTTGCAGGCACTTTGTTGTTTCGCCTCTTCGCATCTTTTCCTCTTTTTTTTTTTTTGGTTTTCAGCTGTATGAGCTTTCCATGATTTTTGTTTCAGAGATCTCCGGCTGGATATAAATGTTAGTCTGGAAGAGCTTGCTCGTTTAACCCCTGGCTATGTTGGCGCCGATTTAAAAGCATTAGCTAGAGAAGCAGCTATGTGTGCTGTAAACAGGTAAGTTAGGACGACAACTGAAAGTATTCAAAAACTGATAACGCAAGGAGAGTATATTCGAGAAAAGGCAAAAAGTGTATTCAGAAGAAGTGAAAATGAATGTTAGGAAAAGGTGAAAAAATGTTGGGCATCAAAGATTGTTATTAAACATTCTTTTTTAGGATATTTGAGACTGCAGTGGATCTCAAATCTGGCACAAAGCGAGTGAGTATTGAAGAAATCGAATTGGAATTGCAGAAAAGTAAAACTATCGGAATTTTGATTAAATTTTAAAAACGGGCTGACAGGGATGTAGTAGTACTACTCTTATGCTGAATGCTGGAAGTGCACTTCGCCAGTGGCGCAGTCAGTCCAACGACTCGTTTATTCTTTTCGATGGCAAACTGGGGCAAAAAGATGACAGGGGTCTGTGTCAGTGTGCTTCTAAAGTAACCCTTGGAATAAGGAGTCGTCGACAGCATCGCTCTCGCGTTGTTGCTATTGATAAGTGTTGTCGTGCATTTCGAATTCATAGGAATAAGAAAATGAATAGCAACGCGTACCAAACTAGCCGGTGCAATCATGCGTTTTGTGCAATTCGTCCACCGAACGATTGCCTGTTACTGATTTTCATTGCTTTGTACTTTAGTTTGTGCAAAAATAGTTGAAACGTCGAAAAACAGTTAAAAATTTCACGCACCAACACATGAAATCCCACGCATCGGCACTACCGCAAAACTGCAGCTTCTTGGCTTTTATGTTTCCTGAGATAATAATTTTCCCGCCAAAACTTACACGAGCCGTGGCTGATACTCGAGAGCGCGAGAGCGCTGAATTTGAATTTTGCAAGGTCGTACGTTGGCAGGGGGTTATTGCCTAAAATTTCAGCCTCCTAAATTCCGTAGTCCCCGAGGTAATAATTTACCTACCAAAATTTTCATGGGACGGTAAGCGATACCCGAGAGTGCAGGAACACTGAATTTTAATTTTGGAAGGTCGTGCCTGGAAAAGGATTCATTATCCTAAAATTTCTGCTTCGTTAATTTTGCGGTTCCCGAGATAATAGTTTATCCGCAGAATTTTCATGTGACGTGAGTGATACTCAAGAGTGCGGAAAAGCTGTTTGATTTTGAATTTGCAAGATCATGCTTGGGCAGAGGATCATTACCATGAAATTTTAGCCTCGTAGATTTCGTGGTTCTCGAGACAATAATTTACCAGCCAAAACTTGTACGGGGCCATAGATGATACCCGCGGGCAGTGGAAGGCTGGGTTTAAATTTTCTGGCTAGCACAGGTACAAGGGATATGTCCACAGAATTCCAGCCTTTTTGCTCCCGTGATTTCCGAAATAATAATTTTACCCGTCCAAGCTTTTTCTGGGCCATACGTATTCCCCGCGGGCAAGGGGCGGCTGAATTTAAATTTACGGGGTTGCACGTGGGTGGACGACGTTCCCCTAAATTTCCACTTCCTAGCTTTTGTGGTTTCCGAGTTGAAAGTTGCGGAAAAGTTGCTGCGGACACACACACACACACACACACA